TGGTATGTTGTAGTGTATGGTATGGTATGGTATAGTATGGTATGTTGAAGTGTATGGTATGGTATGGTATGGTGTGATATGGTATGGTATGTTGAAGTATATGGTATGGTATGTTGAAGTGTATGGTATGGTATGGTATGGTATGTTGAAGTGTATGGTATGGTATGTTGTAGTGTATGGTATAGTATGGTATGTTGAAGGGTATGGTATGGTATGGTATGGTATGGTATGTTGAAGTGTATGGTATGGTATGGTATGTTGTAGTGTATGGTATGGTATGTTGAAGTGTATGGTATGGTATTTTGAAGTGTATGGTATGGTATGGTATGGTATGGTATGTTGAAGTGTATGGTATGGTATGTTGCAGTGTCTGGTATGGTATAGTATGGTATGTTGAAGTGTATGGTATGGTATGGTATGGTATGGTTAGGTAAGCTGAACCAAAATATGGTATATTCATGGTGTGGTACGGTATGGTGTGTGGTATGGTGTGTTATCTTATGATGTGTGGCAAGGTATGATATGGTAATGTGATGATTATGGTATGGTGATATGAAAGTGATTTATAATATTCTACCCCTGATCTTCAGTAGCAGGGTTAACTCACTTACTCAGAGCAGTAAGGGTCAAGCACATCTTCCTCGCGTGCTTTCTTGATGATTGTTCTTATTCCTAGAAGCACCTACACCAGCCCCAGAATCACCACCACCATCATCAAACGCTTTCTGGGTTGTCATCATTGCGGTTGTTACGATTTTTATCGTCCTAGTTGCTGTGTTAGTCACTACTTACGTCTATTGCCAAAAGCGAAGGTGAGTAGGGGAAGAACTGGGATTATGTATTATTTAAAGGCAATAAAAAATTATGATGCTTGTGATGTTACTCTGAGTGTATATCCACACCGCGGGCAAGCTTGAAAAATATGCCTGGCCACGGTTGGAATTGGACCTACGACCTTTGGAATACTAGCCCAATGCTCTGCCAACTGAGCTACGCGGTCAGGTCGGTTCGAGTATGTGATATTTCGGAACTGAGTCTAGTTCCTTCGATATCGATGTAATCTAGTTATCATGATTTTTTTCTGTGTTCGTGTAATGTACTCAGGTGAATATGATGCTTGTGATGTTACTCTGAGTGTGGATATACCGGTGTGGATATCCACTCCGTGTGTGGATATACACTCAGAGTAACATCACAAGCATATTCACCTGAGTACATTACACCAACACAGAAAAAATTAATAAAAATTTAGTTTGTCTCATTCAAAAGAACTCTTAAAATTATATATTAAACTTTATTACCGATTTGTCATATCTTGCTTAGTTCTCGAAATATTTAGACCGAAATTAATGAGCTTTCCGCCATCTTGGAAAAATTATTTACCTCATTAACTATGGTTTTGATGACGTCAGGAGTTGGGTTAACCATATAAAACTACTCTGAAATGGCCGAGTAACAATCCAAAATTGTTTGAAATGTTTTTAATCATTTCTAAATTTCAGGCAGCAACCAGAAATGAAGTTTTGGACCCATATTGATCGCTTACTCTCAAGGTAAAAAGTTAGCGTGACCCCTCTCTTGACGTAACATCGAACAGCTCACTTTTTTCAGTCGAAATACTTTGAAAACTAAGCAAGATATAAAATAGTCTCCCTCGCGGCCTGTTCGCGGGTGACGCTTCCCACTCACATATAAAAAATCTGTAATGGAGTTTAATATATAGTTTTAAGAGTTCTTTCAAGCGAACTAAACTAATTTTTTATTGCCAATGTCCTTTAAAGATATTTATAGGTACACCGTGGCCTTTTCACATTTGTGATTTTCAAAGGGCCGTGTATCACACAAAGGAATATTACAAAATCTATCTTAAAATTTACAAGCTATATATATAATATAATTACAAGATTTAAAAATTGAAGTA